CATCTTAATGCTGGATTAGTTTCAGCTTTTGTCTTCTCCAGATGTTAACTGCTGGACTGGAGTGGTGTGGATTACTTGTGGATTATTGTGATGTTTTTATCAGCTGTTTGGACTCTCATTCTGACGGCACCCATTCACTGCAGAGCATCCATTGCTGAGACACTGATGCAATGCTGCATTTCTCCAAATCTGACGAAGAAACAAACTCATCCTAAACTTGGATGGTCTGAGGGTGGGGACATTTTCATTATTTGGGTGAATTATTCCTTTAAAGATGTTGCATCGAGTTCCTGTCCCTCAGTTTGGATAGAAGCGTCGGTTAATGCATGAATGTAAATGTAAGTGCGTTCATGAGACCTCAGTTTGGGCCACTTGTACGCTCCGCTGGTCATGGTAAACGCTCCGATCTCCAGCTGCTGGATGTGTATGGCCAAGATGTGAGCGTCTGGGAGAGTCGGCAGCCGTCTGCCCTTCTCTCCCTCCATCAGACACAGACTATCACTCTTCAGAAACACCTGAAACAAGACCATCAACAGACCTTAAAACCTCACTCTTCTCTCTTCCATGAGACCAATTCCTGACGCTCAAACAGTAGAGCATGTGCTCGCAACACTAGTGTCATGGGTTCGATTCTTAGAGCATGCATGAACTGATAACATGTAAACCTTTAATGCAATGCAAGTTGCTTTGGATAAAAGCATCTGACAAATACATGAACGTATTTAATTGTTCAAAGAACATTAAAAATACAACTCACACAAAGAGGGACTTTATACACCTCTATAGTGATAAGCATGTTTTTTAGTTTCTGTTTTAAAATGCATTAAGTTATTTAATATTTTAGGACACAGTCAAAAATGTTTGGGTGATGTTACTGTCTGGAGATTATGTAAGAAATAAAAAACAGCTGTGAAGCAGTTTTGTTATTAATAAATGATGATGATGATGATAATAAAAGTAACAATTAAGAGTTAGTTTGAAATAATTAAAACAAAATAATTAAAGTAATTAAAACAAATAACTGTGAAGCAGTTTTGATTTTATTATTATTATTAATGGTATAGACATATAATAATAACCATAATAACACTATTATTATAATTATTATATGTTCAAAGCAATTAAGAATTTAAATGTTAAAAATAAAATAAATAGCTGTGAAGCGGTTTTAACATTAACAGTATTTCTTATTATTATTATTAATAAAAAAGTAACAATTAAGAAATTATTTGAAATTATTAACATTATAAATGTTATAAATATTATATAATACAATGATATTAATATAATAATATACTATACTATTTATTATTATTAATATTATTATTATTATTATTAATATAACTACATTAGAAACACTTAAGACTTAGTTTTTAAAAATGAAAACAAATTATCAAAATAATTAAAACAGTTGTGAATCAGCTTTGTTATTAATATTATTAATGTTATAGATATTATATCATGCAATAATACTAATATAATATAATAACATAATATACTATTTTGATACTATCATTATTAATATAATAACTTAAGAAACTATTAAGAATTAATTTAAAACATTATTAAAATAATTAAAACAGCTGAGAGGCAGTGTTGTTTTTCATATTACAGATAATATATAATAATACATTTTAAATTATATTTTATTATTATTAATATAAAACATAAGAAACAATTAGGAATTAGCTTAAAAATGAAAACAAATTAAAATAAACCATATCTGTGAAGCAGTTTTGTTTTTAATATTATTAACGTTACATATGATATCTATTTTAAATAATATTTTTTATAATTATCAATATAATAACATAATTAAGAATTAATTATTAAAATAATAAATACATAGTTTTGTCTTCCAAATCAAAGTCAGGTAGGAGTCATGTTGTCATCATGTGGCAATAAAATCCTAAAACATGAAATGAACCCCGTAGCCTCTCATGACTGCGTGTTTTGTTATATTTGTCTCTCTGTCTGACCTGAACAGCCCTGAGCTCCTCCAGAGCCTCGCACACCTTCAGCGAGAGCTGCTTCCACGCCTGCGTTCAACACATCCACAAGACAAGACACATACTGTCAAACCAATGAAAACCCCAATAAGCATGGCTTATGAGAAACATTCATCATGCAATTTAATTTCACGCTAAATATAACGAACATTGCTTTGTTTCTGCACAACATGCTGAATGTCGTTTCTAACCCTGAGATGCTTTTAAACAGAGCTGGTTTTTAATCAGTTTAACGGACATGCAATTAACATTTCAGCTGCTGGAGCCTCCAGATAAGATACAGCAAAAATAACAACTCCAGTGGAGCTTATGAGGTTATGACTCTCTCAGCGCACGATCATTTATCGCCTCGAGAGGATTCAGAGAAAGCGGTTAAGCACCGTTTCGTGTCTTACCGGTAATTGCCTCACGATCACGTTCTCCAGCCCCGACAGAATCTGCATGGCTGTGGCGAAGTTTCTCGTCTCGTAGCAGGACTTGCCAACGGCGAGAAAGCGAGCGAGTAAAGCTGTCTGTGCCTAAAAATACAACACAAACACAGTCAGGTATTCAAACTCACCCCACACTAGGAAAAGTAGAAATGTATATAGTGTGCATTTATGTGCATATCAGAGAATTAAGGACAGAAATGTTCTTAATCAGCATGAAATTAATGTTACGATGCAAAAAACACTTAATGGTCCTAAATATATGTTCTTTATTCATGATATAATTTCTTAGTTTTTTCCCCAGGCATGTTCTTGCAAGGTTTTTGTTCACATTATGGGAGCAAAGTAGGTTGTGGTTTCAAAACATTTTTATTTTAGTTGTTATTTTAATATAATTAATATATTATTACTATTATCATTTTTGTTGATATGTAATATTTGTTTTATATTTTCTGTTTTCATTTTACTTTATA